AGCAAGATCAATGGAAGGAGATGTGATGAGGGGATTTCCAACATGCAATAGATCCTTGCAAAGGGCTCAAGGCTTAAGTTGACCGTGTAGTGCATGCAACGTCTGTCGATCTAGGCGTCCCTCGTCTGGGGACATATAATGAATACAGAACATTTCACTTGAGCTAGCCGCCTTTTTAGCTGTAGTCTCCATTACTAAAGTGCTGGAGCCTCTTCTACCATCTCCAGCCCAGGGGAGGCATTCTCTCTAATCAAGTGAGGTAGATTTGTTTACAGGATATTGATTGCTATGGTAGTCATCCTTTTATTCAAGTAGCTCTCTGTGTTCCTGATATATCTCGGCGGAGAGGAAACATGCAGGGTCCATGTGTCCAGAAACTCACATCGTGATTAGAGCGGACAAGCCCTTAGCCTTTAAACCTGCTACTGTAAGCAGTGCAGAATTGACTGGAATGTACAGCTTTAATAAAAAATGTGTTTCTCTTTCAATGCCTAGTCTTGGCTCAGGGGAATCAAGAAGCTTGTTAGTGTAGTCTAGTGTAGCCACATCTTGCTATTTTATACCTGAGAACACACAAAAACATTCAGGTGTAAGCTGCTAATAGATGTCAATGTGACAGTAATTTCACCTGGTTTTGATGATTTGCATTTTCTGTGTGTTTCATGCCCACTGTTAACATAATAATTGTATAATTGTGTTGTAACGATATTATAGAATGATTAAAATGAAGTTATAAAAAAGTGAAATCAACAAATCTTATATGAGGTAAACATAAACTACCTCACTTGAGTTTTTATGATTGGTTCTATGATAGTAGTGTGGATTATGAATATTTTTAAGTTACATAACTGTCCCCTCTTGGAAGGTTATCAATCAACGTTTGCATGAAATGCAACACTAACGTTAAGTTTAGGGTCAATATGATTTTTTTAAATGTTTATTAAAGAAGTCGCTCATGCTCACCAAGGCTGCATTTGTTTGATCAACAATACAGTAAAACTAAAATATTGTGACTAGGGATATGCCGGTATCAAATTTTCATGTTGCGATTAATTGCTAATTGTTTTATCACGGTATACAGTATTATCACGATATTGAAATTTAGTTTAAAAAAGTGCTGTCATAATACAGTATAACAGGTTTAATAAAATTTTTCTTATAACAAAAAATTGTTGCAATTTAAATGAACTGTTTTCTATTTTTATATATTGTAAAATCAAATGTAATTTATTCCTGTAATGGCAAAGCTGAATTTTCAGTAGCCATTACTCCAGTATTCAGTGTCACGTGATTTGGTGCTCAATAAACATTTCTTCCATCTTTATTAAATAAAATTATAAATTTCTTTCTTTATATAAAATATGTAAAACTGACACTAAACTTTTGAACAGTAGTACAATGTATAATACCTTACTCTGCATTAGGGTTGAAAAATGTAATGCAGGGATCTAAGGATGATCTTGAAATAATTTCAGATCAAAAATGTGTGAACACTAGTACATTCTTTTGTGACCTGGATTGAAAGCAATGAAATACAACCAATCATAGTATAACAAAGAATTTGCATGTAAGGTTTGAAGTATTAGTGAATTATTATCCTGACTGTAGATTTTAGGCTCTCAATAGTCTGTTTGAATGTCAGAAACTTGCACTGGTGCAGTCAAATGAGGTTTACAGCATATAAAGGTTTTCACATTTATATGCTGTAATTTGCGAGTGAAATGCTTGTTCTGTGGAGCTGTGAGTTATGTTGAATGTAATGGAAGCATATTCAAGCACGCTCATGTGGTTAGGTGACGTTCCCCGAGGGAATGGACATAGAAAGGTTAGCTTGCGTAGGAGGATCGAGCTATAGGCCAGTCACGATAGCAACTTTTTGTTGTGCGATATATTGCCCCAGAAATAATTGCGATAAGCGATATTATTGTCATTTTAAAGACCATTTTATGCCACTGAATATATAATCATAATGTAACAGCATAATAATGCAAGAAGGCCTACACACTTCCAAATGACAACAAACATTTAATTTTTAAGAATATTTAGATCATGGAAATTAAGTATCAAAATATTAGATACCTTAAAAAACTGAATAAATAGTAAATAAACATTTTCTAACAAAAAGTGCAAAATAACAAGTAGAAAAAAAGAAAAATGCACAAATAACTTGTATGGAGATTTTTCCATCTACAGATTTTTCCCTGACCTTCTTTTCTCTGTAAATTAAGGGTGCACACTATTGCTGGAAAAACTCAGATGTCCGTATGCAAAAAGGGACAGATCCCTAAACAAGACCATATCTGCAGATGAAACTTTTATGTAGAAGCATTTTTTAAATTTGAACTAGCATGACTACACCACGTTATGAACGAGAAGCTGCAAAAGACACAGGCGCAAGTGGAATGTACAAAACATGGTGACATTAATTTTTAAGTAAATATAATGGGCGATATATTGCGTCACCAAAAATTATTGAGGTCATGTACATATATTGCTCGATAAGTCGATATATTGATTATTGCGACAGGCCTATCGAGCTACACTGAGGACACCTGGGCTTTGTAGATGCTTGCTGACCTTTGCGCTCAGTTTGTGTGCTTTGAATGCATTAAAGGCAGAGTAAGTGATTTTTCAAAAACGCTTTAAAAACTGATTCGGGCCGAATCGCAAAACAAACTTGTAGCCAATCAGCAATAAGGGGCGTGTCTACTCATGATGTGGAGGAGAGCGCGTTCAGTGCATGGGACGGACATTAGCCGAGCCGAGCGACAGAAAGATAGAGATGGCGGATAAAAAACAAAAGAGGAAAACGTCTGCGGAACGATAAGGCAAGAAGTAGGACCCGTGTAAATATCGGATCAGCTTTCCAGCGCTGGAGAGAACTCAAGGAGCGGAGGCCTGCGATCGGACGCCGAGGTTGCTTTGTTTCTTCTCAATAGGTGAGTAACACCGTGTCTACAACAGCTAAAGTCTGCCTACACTGGACGCGATCAAACGACCGCTGAAAACCATTTGAAATGTGTGTCAGCACATCATAAATAGAACCCGGCAGCAGTTTTCTGTCGGGATTTGTTGCGCCGCGCCGCTCACGTCCATAGACACGGTGTAACATTGGTTTTGCTTTGTTTCACAGAACTAATCGTTGCCTGGGTTGCGTACGTATGTGTGGGGCGGAGCTATCAAAATAGGGGCAAGACCCTTTTGGGGTAGGGGCGTGTTTGTTTTGGTGATTTCAAATATAAACATTGGCTACCAGAAATCCCTTACTCTGCCTTTAAAGCTGATGTTTTTGGAATAGAACATAGTAAACCATTAAAGGTGCCGTTTGCCTTATTGTTTACACCATTTTGAGTCCCTCAGCTGCTGGTTCAGCATTGACACAACAAGAACAGTGACCATAGCGTCTGTCCTGCGTTTGTAAGCTGTGTCTGTCTTTAGTAGTTTGCTCTTTTGTATTTTATACTCTCCTATTTCTTTATTATTGACTTCCAGCAGTGCACATTCAAACATCTTCATTGAAATGCCAGTGAGCCCTGAGATTCTTAAATCATTACTAAACCTGTGAACAACAGAATCATATATTACTTAATGTCTGCAAAGGGCATAGTCTTTCGATATTAGTTTTAAATGCAAAGGCAGCAGGCAGGTGACTTCTCATCAGCAAGGTGACTTCAGACGTTTTTCATTACAACTGCGTGCAAGTCTCATGCAAGGTGCAGTCATACTTGATGGTCTGTTATGCTGAAACGTAAACCTCTTCAGACAGTTGTAGACTGTCTAGCCGCGTTTTAACAAAATTATGACAGGTCATCATCAGGTGTTGTTAGTTCATATGCAATCATTTTACATGATCTTGCTTGAATGACATTGTGAATGTAAAATGCTCTTCAAAACAGGCAAAACTAGGCATTGAGTTTTTATTTTATTTTATTTTATTTTACTATGCTTATATCATGCATATGCATTAGTACAGTCTTTGTTATTGTTTGTCCACAAAAAACCTTGCAGCTTGAATGCCCAGAAATCCCTGTGAGGAACTTTAAAGGTCAGAGATCTTTCACTCTGACCTTTGCATGACTGTAGATCTATGAATGAACATGAGAGGACTTCAGAAGTCTCTGATGGTTGTGACTTGGGACATATCAGAATGCTGCAGTGAAATCACTTCCACATGGCTGATCTTACACACAAACTGCTCTAATGCTATATTCACCAACAGATCTCCCAAGATAAGACATGAGAAATGTGGGGGGAAAAAATTATAATTCAATTCAAGTTTATTTGTACAGCGCTTTTCACGATTCAAATCATTGCAAAGCAACTTTACAGCAAATTAAGTTTCTACAATATTTAGTGGTAGCTTATCAGTGGTGACTGTCAGTTAATATACATATGGCAGAAATGTACGGAAAAATCAATTAAAGACGTAATCAAACAGGCGATGAACACTATTAACAGCAATTATTATATGATGCAATCAAACTTATAGCAAATTGTGGTAGTTCTGATAATTCTGATAATTGAATCTCTTAAAGGTTAATTTGGGGAAAATGCCAGTGGTGTAATTATTATTATAAAGGCCAATTCAGGCCTTTTGAACTTTAAGATGAACCTGGATCAACAATTGAAACTGCCTTTTACTCAAAAATTTGAGAATTCTTTTTTTTATAGTATCGTGTATTGCTGTGTATAAGTAACTCTTCTCTGAGTTCATCCTTTTGTGCCCCATTTGCTGTGAGATATATATTTAGGCACAATGTAGGCTGTACATAAAAAAATATTAGTTTGTCCTGTGTGCATGTAATTTGGAGTCTGAATCAGCCTTGAAACGCTGTGATCCAGTTCAACCGGTGCTATCAAAATTGGCTGTGCTGCAATTAAATATTTATAATAATTATTATTCATGTTTTAAATGAATTCTAATTGTAACCTGACCTGACCTATTATATTATGTTTGAATCATAATATAGGAAGCTTAAGTAGATATCTTTGTGTTACAGACTCTGGTTGGACCGTAATGACCGCACGCTTCCGGTTGCCTGCAGGCAGATCCTACAATGTCCGGGCGACGGAGCTGGCACGCGACAGGCAGCGCACCGAGGTGGTCTGCAACATTCTTCTTTTGGACAACACTGTCCAGCCTTTTAAAGTCAATGTAAGTACTCCTTTAAATGTGTTGTGCATAATTCAATATTCTAATGATCAGATAAGGAACTAATGATGTGTTAAGCACTATGTATATTGTAACTACATTTTCACTGTGATTGTCAGGGTATTGTTATGCAGTTTCTAAAGAGTTCTGTCCTGTGTTTTTGTAGTGTTTTTGTAGTATGTTGCTTTATGGATGCTAGTGTGTTCTGGGTATTTTAAGGGATAGTTTACCTGAAAATGAAAATTACCCCATGATTTACTCTCCCGCTAGCCATCCTAGGTGTATATGACTTTCTTCTTTCAGACGAATCCAATTGGAGTTATATTAAAAAATGTCCTGGCTTTTCCAATCTTTATAATGGCAGTGAATGGTGGTCGAGATTTTGAAGCAAAATAAATATAAATATCCATATTTAAAAATTTATGAAAAATATCCATATTTAAAACTTTATAAACCATAACCTCTAGCTTGCGCTAACCGTCGTATGCACGTTCACGTAGGCCTGTCACAATAATAAATATATCGACTTATCGCGCAACATATGTCCGTGACCTCAATCATTTTTGGTGACGCAATATATCGCCCATTATATTTACTTAAAAATTAATGTCACCATGTTTTGTACATTCCACTGGCGCCTGTGTCTTTTGCAGCTTCTCGTACATAACGTGGTGTAGTCATGAGGTGCTAGTTCAAATTAAAAAAATGCTTCTATAAAAAAAAGTTTCATCTGAGGGTCGTCTTATATTTGGGCCAATACGGTAGTTGTTATCGTGACAGGCCTACGTTCACGAGAGAGTGACGTTCCAGCAGATGATGTAGGACGTAGGCATAGCCTTCTTGAGGGTGAGTACATTTTGGGTGAGGGGGGTAATTTTCATTTTTGGGTGAACTATCCCTTTACTGGAACATGTCTAAATGCTTACTAGTAGAGTGTTCTGGGTGGAGCCCATGCACGTCCAAATCTCTATGATATTTTGGTTAGTCAGTTGTGTATTTTCACCAATTTCATCATCAGACAAGTGTGATTACTTGTAAAAGTTTTAGCTTATCCCTCTGATCAACAGTCTTTGAGGTATTGAGGTAATTTGAGGTATGATTCATATGTCAATGAAGACTGGAAAATGGCTGTTAAATTCAGCTTTGCCATTGCAGGAATAAATTACATTCTAAACTATATTAAAATGGAAAACGGTTATTTTAAATGGTAGTATTTCACAGTTTTATTTAGCCTATTTTTGGAATTTTTGATCTGTTAAGCATTTTACACTGTTTGTTAAAGTCTTCCCTTTCCCTTTTCTCTATGAACCCCAAATCATATGCATATTTGTTTGAAAATTGCCATCCATAATGGTCGCCATCATCTACATAGTGCTCATGTTCCAGCTAGAGGATAGTGGTGTAATTCTGCTTATAGAAGGGATGCATGCTTGACATTCCGGCAGAATGAAAAGTGGCCCTGAGGGTTCCAGAGATTCATGTACATACTTGCACCTGCAATATATAGGTGCCATGACAGACACACCCCACACACGCGACAAGCAAAGGCACAAATCCCCATCTCTTTCATTTGCTGGTCTGATTGCAAAACCCATGTGTTTGCTCATCCTTATCCTCAGCGTTGTGCAAAGTGTTGTGTATAATGGTCCTTACAGAAAACTGTTATGTCCTGACTTGAAATAAGGGCTTATGCCAACATTGAATTAAAGGTTGCTCCGGTTACAGAAGGTTGGTCAGGTTTTTCTCAGTGGTTATTACCTTTCTATTCCCATCAGTTACATTGCTCAAGGATTTCCTGTGTATCAGGAAGTGTTTTCACATTGAATTGGAGCAAGCAATAAACCTATAAACATCACATGACTGACTTTAAACAGCTGCTGGTCTGTTAGATGAATCAAGGCGTTCTTATTTAGAAGTTGTCTGTCATGCTGCTCTCTGATTTGTAACTAACATTTCCAGGAAAGCCAGTCCTCATGTAATGGCCCCATTGATCAAATTTATGCACTTGCTCTCTGGTCTCATACATTTTTGTGCCAGACCTCTCGATGACCTAGATAGTCTGGCAGCACAGCGGGCCCTTGATGAGTATAGGGCGCACATGGAACGGAAGCACAAGGTCTAATGGAAGGAGAAGAGGGAGGATCAGAGGTAAATAATCAAGAGGGGGCTAGGTGTTAAATAAAGCAGGAAGGCTGTTATTTGTGTTACAGAAGTTGATGTTGCAGAGGGGCCGTCATAAATATGTCTCAACTGTGTGTTTGAAGAGGTGCATGTTATGTCTGGAATGCAGAGAAGAAGCCAGAAGTTTGTGAATAGTAGACTAGATTGCCGTGTTGTAGCGTCTCCCTTAATGTGCATGTCTATGTTCTAATAGATTCTGTCACTTTGATCTTGATTTCCTTATCAGTGGTGCTGTGCGAAGTAGCATTATATTAGGGGTTTGTTCAAATCCCTGACCCTAAGCATTAACCTTTGGCACATGACAAGCATAAATGATGACTCAAATCATAAGACTTTCATTAGGGCTGTCGTGGTGAAGAAATTTTGAGTGACTCAATATGCAATATTAACTCTCTCTCTCTCTCTCAGTGGTAAATTAATAAATATATGATAGTAAGTGCTGATTCGCGAATCTGACTGTACAAGCAGCTTTCCAATACTTTTGTTGATATTTTAGTAGTATGTATTTTAACAGGGACACTCATTTTCAACTAGTGATAACTGCAGGCTGGAGCAATGGGTGTGGTGAAAGGTAGGGGTGTGGAGAAAGGTCTTCATGATTTGTCGACAAAGCTGTCTGTCAGGGAGGGTTTGGAGGTAGGGTTAGGGCTGGGTTAGGGGTAGTTTCTGTTGTACTGATTCACCTTTTGGAACGCCTCCTTTCGGCACACCCATTGCTCCAGGCTACAGCTTCCCCGGTCTCCTCATTTTACGGGCTGTCAATCAGTGCAGTTACATTGTTACGCCAGGAGATGGCGGCAAGGGACTGTCTTTATGAGTGTTCAACTAATACATTTAAAAACGATGATTCATTCTTAATTGAAGCAAGGTGTTGAAATTAATTTAACTTTGAGTACCACTTTACAAGGCTCAATTGACGATCAATGCATTACCTGAAGCTGGTGCTGGAGCTGATGTTTCACTTCATAGAAAACAATGCCATTGATTCAGTGCACTGAACAGAGTTGACGACGCCTGTCATGGGAAATCCCCTTAAATGGTGAAAGAATGCTATGACAAAGATATCGCTTTCATCTTCTGGCAAACTGATTTTTTTCCACAAATATATGACTTGACCTGAAGAAGGACAGACGCAGGTAATCTTGCATGCTCAGCAAGAGTGTAAATTTCACCCAACAGTAGGGGGGAACAATAAACATAAAATTTCTCAAGAGCAATTTTCGAAGGGGACACAAATAATACAGCCAAAATGGTAATTGTAAGGATAGATAAGTGTACACAGCATGTACATAGCATGGAGACCGAGTTTAAATATGAGTTAGGTTCATAGGCTCACCACGCGGTCATATTACAATTATTAAATTATCTTGAGTCCTCCACAAAATATTTTAGGTTTCGTCTGGAATTGAGGACGTCTCTTATTTAGATATTCAACTACAGCAAGCCCACATCTGCGGCTGCCAAACTGCATCTAAACATCATATAGGTTGTTTGCAATCATGTGATTCTGATGACATGCGAAATTCAGATGGAGGGCAGGAACTGAAAAACAGAATGGATGAGATGGAGGAAAGTCCATACTGTACTGGTTTAGACACGATTACAAGAGAAAGGTATAAACAGAAAGTCACAACATATGTTGGACGTGATCCTAATGTTATGAAGAGGAGCGATTTTTTTTTTTACTAAATTGAAATACTTGCCTGCCATCGAGAGAAAAAGAGAGAGATATTCTGAGCATCAGGGGCGTAAATCCCCCCCACAATTTACACCCCTGATGCTCAGTCAATCTCTCTCTCCTTTGCTCTGTCTGTTTACAAATCTACGGAACCTATTAACAAATCACAATGGTAAACATTGGTACACATATGGCACCTTTCCACTGCATGGTACGGCTCGGCTCAATTTGCATTTCCACTGCAGTTTAGTACTGCTTTAGAGTGGGTGGAATGTCGTTATAATTGTGCCGCCTCTACTGCCGTAACCTCCTAAAAAAGTTTTTCATTCCGCGTCATCCCATCAAGCTCTCTCTGGATCCGCTCCTTGGCAATCAACGAGAGGAACGTCTGTACTTCCTCAACAGACCGTGAAACAGACATTATTTTGATGTTTTAAAAACGTGCGCTCGTTCAAAACTGTTGCGTTCAAAGGATTTTGTTCGGATTTTGCGTTCGGATTTCGAAGGGTACAACTGATGGGACACTTCGGGCTCCCATGATCCTTTGCGCAGATTCTTTGCATGATGACGGCGCCTCCGTGTGGGCACGTGATGATGACGCATGAAGGGCACTTCAAGAAACAGTTGTTTGGTCTCCTACACCCTTCAACCCTTCGATGCTCTCACTCCGGAGGGTAAACCCTTTGAAGGGATTAGGGCATAGGGATGAGCCCTTCCGAATGGAACGCAGGGTTAATAGCGGGTCTGTGTCTCGTGTCGCAAGTTCAGTGGCGCAGGTAGTGGCGATTCTCTCCGGCAAATCAGTGATCAGCAGGGTTTACATGTCACATTTTGGTAACAGTACGGCTCGCTTGGAACCTCAGCCGAGGTGGTACTGAAAAAAGTACCAGGTACTATACACAGTGGAAAACCCCCCAAAAGCGAGCCGTGCCGTACCATGAAGTGGAAAAGCGCCTATAGTCTTAATGACGTAAAAAGAGCCTGTTGGTGTAAAACTATTACTCTTCACTCTTATGATGATTAACTTTTTGAACATTCAATACAAATGCATTGTGTAAATCAAGAAGGGCATAGCCTCGTAAAAAAAAAAAAAGTGAACATCGCGGTTGTGGTGGTTGCTTGTTATACTCTGCGATTAGTCTCG